GTTACTGAAAAGCTTGTTTTGCAAAGAAGGAAAAGGCTCTCACCGTGATCGCGGCGCTGCACCAAACCCCTCTCTCTCTTGTATTTTCTTCTTCCTGCGGTTTGCAAATAAATCCAGCCCTAAAGCAAAAAAAAAATTTCTTCTCCAAACTCTGCTTTAGTCCAACTTGCAAATTAGAGCACGCATGGATCGCCGTGTAAAAAAGTCCAGAGCGAAGTTAGGTCCCTCTCCCCAGATCGGTTATAAGTACGTGTACGCGCGTATGTGCTATAATAACAAACCACCTCTCGGGATCGGGGTGGGTTTTCTTTGCTCCTGAAAAGAAACCACTCGGTCCCTCACACACACGCTTTCCTTTTCCTCCTCAATGAACAGAAGGCCGAATCGCCAACACCAAGTCACTTTTTGTTGTTGTTGTCGCTGCTGCCGCAAAGGATCGAGAGGAAGGGGAAAGCCAGAGAAAACAAAAAACGAAGCGGATCTAAAACAAAATCCCAAAGCCTCCTTCCACTGAGCTCCTCCAAAAAAAAAAGAGAGTCACAACAAAACACCACATCTTTTCAACAGGGAACATTTAGTTACGGGCTCTGAATAAAGAATATTGCAGGCTGTGTATGAAATTATAGTAAGGTAATATTCAACTCTAGCAGTAATAGTGTGGGTGTGTGAGAGTCATTTTGACTAGCAATTACACATCTATTTTATGCATTAAACATCTATGTTGTCTTTCTACTGAAGTTAACCTGAAGTTCGGAACACAAATAACTTTCTTAATAATTTTATGTTCATATCCATATAGATATAGAAACAATAACTATACGCTTCATGATAAGTATTACCAGTGCATTGCTTCATCTTAATTCATCTCCCAGAAATATAAAAATCCAAATGCTTCCTACTAATACCTAACCTGTAATCCATATCAAACCTGTATTCTTGTCTGTGTATTATCCGTTAATTGTGGCAGTAACTGGAGCTTTATATAAGTTCCTTTTTAAGACTGCACAATTTGGAAATACAATTCTATTGTGCCAGAAGCCAAATAATAAAATGATTATTGTCTTAAATACAAAGGGACAAAGTTAAGTATTCGATGCTGACATTATAAATTAAACACTGCCCATATGACCTTTCACTGGTTTTTGGAATACCTAAGTACAAATATAAGTTCTCCTTGGTTAATCTCATAATATGCAATGGGAATATGTACGGTGCTTTTTCCTTCCAGCTCCTTTCTCATAGTAAATGAACATCTCCCAGCCCCGTGGTCTGATTATGTTTGTATTGAAACATTTCTGGCAGTTAAATCTGCAAGCCTTTGCGTATTTAAGTAGGGAACATTATTTTGGAAGACCTAGAAAAATGGGCAGAGAGTGGCAAGTCTTCACTGCTCTTGCTATGCAGATTCCAAGAAAGGGGGTCCTGAGGGATTCTGGCTGCTTTTGCCCTTAGTAGGAAGAAAAATTGTCTACCACCGAATTTAGGAAAATGGTCCAGCTTCTTGTAGCTCAAAGGCTATGCACTTCTTGTCTTATGGTCAGGGCTAGATGCTTGCTGAGGACTCGCTCAGCACACTGTGCTCTGCCATTATCCAAGTTTTGAACTGTGCAAGTATAGACCAGCAATGGATGTGTTTGTGTGGTTGATTTAGAGGCATAATTTGTTTTCGAGGCATGCATGTGCATTTTGACCATCTCTATTTTTGACTCACTCAGAGCAGGAATCAGTAAACACAGGGTACTGTATTGGTGCTGTTGAGTGAGTCTTGTAGTCTTCAGAAAGGAAACTCCAGCACAGCTAGATTGCAGAAAATGAGATAACCCCTAAATGTGATCTTGGGCTGCTTCTCAAATATTTCTGTCATTGCTCTCAATGTGTTTATATTATTAAATATAGAACTTTAATATCCCACGATGCCCTTAATTTACACAAGATTTAAAGAATGTGGATCAGATACATTTTCCTAGCTGTTCCTACCTACATTTTAGCACCTTTAATCCTTTGCACTCATTAACAAGTGAAAACCCCACCGGCCCTTTTTTACTGCTTGCGGCAATTTTGCGGGCACTTCCCTCTCCTACACCTGCTAGTCACCGCTTCTTGGAGGGGGTGGTCGTTCTTGGTAAAAACATGGAAATAATAAAGGCGTGGAAAGAATAAGGCACGGACGGCCTTCAGGTGTTCGTGTTTTTACACCCAAATATCCATTCTGCCACAACAATATGCTGAACCTGCGGGTTATTTTCCGCGGTTGCTCGGCGGTAAAGTTAGCCGGAGTTACACGGGTCTAACTTCTTCTTTGCCTTCACGCCGGCTTCCCCAGCCCCTACCCCGCACAGATCCCGCACAGACCCGCTGCCGCCTCGGCGGGGACGGCG